ACTGCATCTGGTGGCCCCAGGCTGTCACACTATAAAGGGGTAGAAAACAAGCAGTGCAAATCACCAGCTCCTCCTGAATCACAGCACAAAGCTCCAAATTTAGTGGGTCTCATGATAAAAGCCCTCTTTGTGGCTTGTGCCTTCTGCTCTTGCAGCGTCGCGCGGTTGCTTCTGGCCATGGAAAGCTGTTGTTGCATTTCAGTCCCCTGCTCACCAGAACTTCATGGAACCATGGAAGGCCAGAAAAGACCTCTAAAATCATTGAGTCCAACCATTAACCTAACACTGCCTGGTCCACCCCTAAAACAGGTCCCTAAGCACCACGTCTAGTTGTTTTTTGAACACTTCTCACTGCTCTTTGTCCTGCAGCAGCCCCAGCTGAGAGAATCTCCCCATCCCTGACCGCTCACCATACGGTCTCTCCACCAAACAGCACATAGTTTAAGAAAAAACAGGAAAAACAGAGGCAGAAACTCTGTCACAGTCCTTTAAACAGCTTTTCAGCTCTTCATATATGATTTTTGTACAGTAACAGGGAAGATCGTATTTTTCTCCCCAGCTCTACCTTCTCAGACAGGGTTGTTTAGCACAAATATTAACATGTGTTTGGATATGGCACATTTAGGCACTTCTAAACTGGAGCTGTGATGTGGGCAGAGCACATCCCTCCTGCCTCCACCCAGTTTCCACAAGGATCTCCAGAGCAAAGAGAACAAGGCTGTGGTACAACTCTACAACAAATATACATTAGAGCCATAAAACCTGATGAAGCTCAGACAAACTGTTCCCAAGCCTCCAAAATAACAGGAGAAAGCAGCTTCACTCTGGGTTGTAGGACACCATCACACCAGGTAATTCTAGGAGGAAAATAGGGATTTTCTTTTGGTTAAGCCCCAATGGCAGATGGAGAGGGTTTGGGGGGAGATGGGTGGCACTTCCCCAAACCCCACCATGCAGTGGGACCTGCAAGACTCCCATGCAGAATCAGGCTTGAGCCTGGCTGTCTCACAAACTGCAAGAGAAAGACTTGGCGGATTTGTTTGGGAATTCCAAGCCCAAAGGAACTGCTCTCTGACATGTGGAGTATCCAGCAAAGCCCTGGGGGTTGCAGCAGACAGAGCACAGGTAGCTGAAGAACAACAAATGCCAGATGACTGTGCATGGCTTAGAGTGGGGAAAAAAAAGGCCAGGTTTGCTCAGGAGCTCTGTGTGAAGGAAAGGGCAGGCATTGCAAGAATTCAGAAACAACATCCTTAGATGGAGATGGGCCAGTTATGGAAGAAGCTGAGCACGTAAACAGGCTTTGGACAAGGAAGTTGTCCTCGGAGGCTTGGGGAGATTTCACACTCCTGCACATGGGGAATGGACTAAACAGGGCCACCTGGATTCCTGCAGAGTTCAAACCCTCTGTGGTGTTCAGCCCTCGGAGCTGAGGGTGATTGCTGGTCATGCAAGAGCGCTGTCAGGTTGGGAGCAGAACTGAGGGTGAGGCGGATCCTCAGGCTCACAACCTGCGTGGTTCTGTCTGTGTCACTCCCCATCAGATCAGCAGTGGGAAGGGAGGAATTTCTGTGCATCTACAGATGGATTTGCTACGTACTTGGTCCTGCTACTGCCTGGACCCCCTGGAGATAAAGGTGAAGGCACCTGGGCTTGGGGCTTGAGCTCCCATAGCACAGGCAGATGTTACAGCAGGATCTCACCTCCACAGAGCATCACTCTGTAATAAGGATAAAACCCCAATCACTCCATCCTCCCCAGCCCTGCAAAGCCCCCAGGGGGGGCTCTGGGTGCTGCGGTGGGTCCTTGAGGACAGGGCAAAGAGGCCACCCAGACCAGCATCATGGAGAAGGGGGCAAAATTTGGGGTACCTAAACCCCAGCAGCTCCTCTCTGCGCTCACAGGGGAGCAGCACAGCAGAGGGATCCTCACTGGCCACGGATAACCTCCATCACTCCCCACGGCCTGAGCCCCAAAACACCCCAGAACTTTCTCTCCCCCAAATGGGAAGAGAAAATACATGATTTATAAAGTAAATAATAACCAAAGTGCAACCCCAGCCTCCCTAGAAATGCTGAGAGCAGATATTTCCAGCCGGTCTCCCGTCACCGCCAACATGAATGATCACCAACCTCCTTGTCACAAACCTTTAGAGCAACTCTCCAGAATTAAATCAGCATATTGCATGGTTCCAGTTCCTTTCATCCAAAGATCTTCAAATGATTTACAAACAATTCTTTAATTAAGCCTTCCAAACAGGCCCCAGGCTACTATTACTGTACCTGCTCTGCCACGGGGGAATCGAAGATGCCGCACTGCTAAAACAGCCTGCAGAAAGGTTGCAAAAATCTTATCAAAGTTCCTCCAACAGCAAATATATTAAGAAGACACTCTGCTTCACTGCTGATTCTGAAACCCTCAGGTTAACCATTTTTTTCTTCTCCAGGAGACATGGCCCCAAATTGCCTCCTCCCGCCCATGTCAGGATTAGTATTCAACGGATAAAATGGTTTTTTAAAAATGCACATCTTTGACAGCTTGTCTTCTACAAACACGAACTCCCAGTACCAGGGAACTCCCAGTACCAGGGAGCCAGCCCAGCTTTGGGAATGAAAAGCAGTGTTTTGGCAACAAGGATTTAAAACCCATCAATCTGAGGTTTGTTTTGATCCGGGGGTTGATCTCCAGTAAAGCCCCTTCCTGTTCTTTTTTGCCCCCAGGACAGGTTTGTGCTGTGGCTCTTTTGAATCCTCTGTGAATAAAAAGAATTGGTTTTCTCTTCCTGATGCAATTTTGTTATCAGACCCCCCTGTGGGAATACAAGACGCAATATGGGGAAGGAGAAAATAAAATTAAATATCCCATGAAGACACTGTAATGGGTAACTGAGCCACTCACTGGCTGGTTGAATTTACAGATGTTATTTGCCCAGTGCCATGTTTGCTGCATCTCTTGTACGCTCTTGTCTGAAGCTGATTTTATCCTGATTTAAGGAGGGAAATAAGAGGGAATCTCTGCAGAATCAGGGGTTTGGGATGCCACAAGCCTGGAAGTCAATATTTCTAGAGAAATAGCTGTACCCAAAAGAGCTGCCTTTAAAAAACTTCAGTAACCTTGCGCTGACTCTGCTCTGCCCCACGCACAAAGGTTGTCACCTTCCAAAAACATGATCCAAAATCCCAACTTCCCGCTCACCCACCCATTTCACATCCAGTTCAAGGAGAGCAAATCATGCAGGTACCATCCCGATTTCTTAAGATACTCGAAATCTTGCAGTTTCACTTACAGACTCAACTTCTTCCCATTTAAGGAGGGGAAAAAAAGATGAATTTTAAGCTTTGAGTAGCTCAGATGATTGCAGAGATATCAGCCTTGAGACTCCAAGCCCAAACACCCAGCAAACTGGGATGCCTATTTTGGCCCCTAAGGAAGAAAATCCTGGTGCCAATACCCAGTGAGCAACATAAAAGCATCTCTAAGGAGCTTATTTCAGAACTTAAGAGCAGCAATGAATGACAGAAAATGCTGTTTTCAAGGATTTAGTTAATTAATTTCTGAGAAAGGTGTAATAGGATCACTTGAGAGTGTTATAGAAACAGGTCCCCCCACATCCTCCCACTGAAAGCCTGTTTTGTCCCGAGCCCAGAGTATTTATTGCCCCATTCTGAAAAACAAAACAAAACCTTCTGAGAAGGCAAAGTCAGCTAAACTCAGCTAAATTCTGTCCAGCACAAGAAAATTGTGTTAACTGCTCCTACTTTATGCCGATATATTAATGACTCTCAGCCTTCCTGAGCTTTAAGGGGAAGAGAAATCTCTTTTCAAGCCCACCTTGGCATCCGGGAGAGATGGGGGCTCACACCTGCTCACCCACCAAACCCCCGGCACCGTGAGTTCCATGAGAGGAACAGGAAAAAAATAGGCAGGCAGAGATTTCAGCCAGACCTCTGGGAATTCACCCCACAGTTAAATCCCCAGGGCCCTGCCTCCACTTGTGCTTTTACCTCCGGAGCCTCCTCCAGCTTTTGTTACCTTGAATAAAAGCACATTCAGCTCAGCAGAGGCTCTTTTGGGAGACAGGAGTCGGAGCAAGATTTCACCTTCTCCTATTTTATTTCGTATTTTATTTTATTTTATACTATTTCATTTTATTAGATTCCCACCTCCCTTGTCTTCTTTGATTACAGGGAAGAAACACCCCACTCCTCCCTACCTTTATTCACTTTCCAAAGAATCAGTGCATTTCCTTTCCCTGCTGCTTTTCCATGTGTTTTTTTGGCCACCTCTCCAACAATACACCCCATCAAAGAGCCAGACCTCCCACTCCATCACCCACCAGACCCTGAACCCCAACACCATCGCAGGACCCCAGGCACTGCTTCCACTCCCAAACCTCCCCGACACGACACATCCCGCCCGGCTCCACCGCTGCCCCACAGCGAGGGGTCTCCAGTTTAACCTTTTTCCAACTCCTCCATCAACTTCCAACAGGGAATTGCTTTCTCCCCCCCCGCACTCTTTTCCCACGCCATCTCCACGGTCAGAGGTGATGGCTCGTGTTCGGTACGTGCAGCACCCGGAGCGCTGGACCACTGCAAGAACAGCCGCACCAAGCCGAACCCAAGGTCCCCCCCTTGCTCGATGGGACCCTAAAAAATCGCTCTCCCAAGACAGATGTTTCCCCAGCGCCCGGGCAGGGATGCGGGCGGGAAGCAGCGGGTTTGGCTCATCCCGCTGCAGAGCGAACCAGCACTGCGGCTCCTGCACCCGAAGTTGCGCTGCCGCGGGGGGCTGGATGCGCTCTGGTTTTGGCTAAGCGGGGCGATAAGCCGGACTCAGGAGGCGGGTGGGCTTTCAGCATCCCCCCCCCCCCGGATCGTTATCTTCCAAACTCGCCGATAGTAAAAGGAAAAACAGAGGGGGACGAGAAGGCGAGGGATGCTGGAAGGTGGGGAAAAGGCACGGCGAGGGCAAAAAGCGGAGAAGGAGGCGGCACTCACCGAGCAGCAGCAGCAGCAGCGGGAGCAGCGGCAGCAGCCCCGGAGCCCGCATGGTGCTTCCCGGCCGTCCCGCCGCTCTCCCGGCGCTCAATCCCGGCGGGGCGGGCGGGAGATGCCCTCCCTCCCACCCTCCCTCCCTTCCCCGGCCACTGCCCTCCCTCCCCTCCCTTCCCTTTCCCCGGCCCCGGCCCGGGCCCCCCCTTTCCCCGCCGGGGGAGGCGCGGAGCGGCCCCGACCCGCCCCCGCCTCCGCCCCCGGAGCGGAGGGAGAGAGCGGTGGGATGGGGATGGGGATGGAGGGGGGGATGAGGAGAGGGGGATCCACCTGCCGAGGGGATGTGGGGTTGCGTTAGGATGGGGGTGTGCGGGGTATTTGGGGTTCTCAACTGCATGGGGGCATTTGGGGGTTTCATTGGGATTTTGGGGTGAGGGGGTATTTGGGGTTCTTAACTGTGTGGAGGGGTTTGAGGATTTTGTTGGAATAGGGGTTTGGGGGGACTGGGGGCTGTCAGCTGCATGAGATTTGGAGTGAGGAGGTTGGGGAGGATTTAGGGGGTTTCATTGGGACGGGGGTTTGGGGTTGTCAGCAGTATGGGGGGATTTAGGGGTATCATTGGATTTGGGAGGTTGGGAAGGATTTGGCGGTTTTGTTGGGATTGGGATTTGGGAGGGATTTGGGGTTCTTAACGGCATGGGAGGATTTGGGGGATTGGGGGATGGGTGTGGATTTGGGGTTTCTTTAGGATGAGGGTATGGGGGAGATTTGGGGTTCTCAACTGCGTGGGGAGACTTGGGGCTTTCGTTGGGATTGGGGTTTGGGATTGTATTTGGGGTTCCACCTGCATGAGGGAATTTGGGATTTTAGTCAGGGTGGGAGATTTGGGGAGAGCATGGGGGTTTCATAGAAATTATGAGGTTGTGACGAATTTGGGAGGGGGTTTGGTGTTCTCAATTGGATAGGGCCATTTAGGGGCTTCATTGTGTTTGGACTGGGTTTGGGGTTTTCATCGGGATGGGGGCTTGGGAGCATCTAAGGTTCTCAAATGCATGGGGCAATTTTGTGGTTTTATTGGAGTTGGGAGGTTGGAGAGGATTTAGGGGTTTTGTTGGAATGGAGGTTTGGGGGGATTTAGGGTTCTCACCTGCATGGGGGATTTGGGGGTTTCAATGGGTTTGGGGTTTCCATCGGATTGGGGACTTTAGGGTGACATTTGGGACTCCTGGCTTGATGGGGGGAAATGGAGGGTTTCTTTGGGATAGGGATTTGGAGTTCTCACCTGCATGGGGAGACTTGGGGGTTTAGTCAGGGTGAGAGGTTTCGGTGGGATTTTGCATTTACATGGGGGGATTTGGGGATTTCATTGGAATCGAGTGGTTGGGGAGAATTTGGGGTTTTGTTTTGATGGTGGTTTGGAGTGAATTTGGGGCTCTCACCTACATGGAGGGATTTGGGGAGTACATTGGGTTTAGAGGTGGATTTGGGATTTTTATCAGGGTGGTGGGATTCCTGCCTGTGTGGAGGGGATCTGGAAAATTCATCAGGATGAGGACTTGGGAAGGATTTGGGGGTTTTGTCAGGGTGGGCGGTTTGAAAGGGAATGTAGGAGGGTTTGGGGTTTTCATTGGAACTGGGGAGTTGGGGAGGGTTTAGGGTTTTCATTGGAATGGCAGGTGTGAGGATGATTTGGTATTCCCACCTGCATAGTGGTGAACTGGGAGGTTTCACTGGAGTTCAGGGTGAATTTGGGGTTTTCACTGGGGGGAAGACTTGTGAGGGATTGTAAGTTTTTGTCTGGATGGGGGTTTGTAGGTTGATTTTGAATTCCCACCCACATGAATAAGGATTTGGGATTTTCATCTGGATGAGGACTTGGGGATCAATTTGGGATTCCTGCCTGCATGGGGAAAATTTGTGGGTTTTATAAGGACGGGCATTTGGGGGTGGATTTGGAATTTTCATCTGGATGGGGGTTTGATTTCAGATTCACATCCAGGTGTGGGTTTCTTGGGGATTTTCATCTAGATTGGGTTCATTTTGGGATTCTCACCATGAGTGGGGGTTTCTTTGGAGTTTTGGGTTAATTTGGGATCACTTTCTGCACTTTCACCCATCTGAACACACACACAGTACCCCAATGGTACAAAATCCCCCTGATCCCTCCTCTACCCCACAGTGAGTGTACTTTTTCACAAGATGATTTCTAGGAAAGGTTTACTCTTGTTTGGAATGTCTTAAAGGAACAACATGCCCAGAGTATGAAGGACAAAATTATTATCAGATCTTGGCATTTTTTGTGGCAAGAGGGAAGGGTGTTGAAAGTTTTTTCTCTGATGTTCAGGCTGTAGCTGGGAGGAAACTAAAAATAAGTTCAAAGCTTTGCACTGAATCCCTCTCCTGGCTCTGACAGATCCAACTAAACCAGGAACCTTCCCAGCCGGGACCCAGAGGTGGCAAAAATAACCTTCCCTCCAAAAAGGACTTTTCAAATACAGTTTTCTTGATGCCTTCAGTTAAAGGTGGACTTTCTTCTTGTTGCAAGGTCACCTTGAGAAGATGAGGAGATGCTTGGGTTGGCTGGCTCACCCTCCCTACCTGCTTTGCATTTGTCCCCAGAAAAGGCTTCTTGTCCTGATTTTGGGTTCTGAGTCAGTGGAGAGACTTTCCCTGTGCCTCAGCCCAGCCTCACCTCCTCTTACTACAACTCTGCATTACACAGCCCCTAAAACCTGGGAAACTCAAGCTGCAATAAGTGAATGAGCACGTTGATGCACATTATCAATCTTGCCAATATCAGAGAGGCAGTTTCTTCTCCCCCTGCAGAGTATTTTTAATATCAGGTCACACTTACACACACACACACTCTCCCAGTCAGCACATTTTGGTTTTAACTGCCGAGTCAAAGCAGCCCAGGGGAAAATCTGAGGTGCTCCAGCGTAGCAGTGTCCCTGGGATGAAGAGGAGGGGGGGAATGCTGAGCTCTTCAAACTCTCTATGGCACCAGTGCCCACAAAACACTGCAAAAATATCCCAGGGCACATTACTCTGGGATAGCAGTGCCTGGGAGATGGGCTCCTCCAGGGTTGGATCTCCACCGTGGATGACGGCTGTGGGGAGGACAGACAGAAGAAGAGCTCCTTTGGCAGGGAAAACCCAAGGAAAACAAAATGACCTGAAATCCACTTAAAAATCAGCCTAGTTTTGGTGGCCACTGGTTTTATTGTGCAATGTTTGTAATGAGAGGTAGGAGAAGAATTCCATCTGGCTGGTCCCATCAGCAGATCTGGGCTGTGCTGGTCCTTTGGCCTCATGCAGGGAGAAGGGACCCTCACCCTCTGAGCACCTGATGCCTAAATCCTTTTAAATTGCTAATTTGGGATGTGGGTTTTCTCTTAATTACCATAACCCTGGCACTTACGCAGGGAGTTTTGTCAGTTCTCAACTTACTTGTGGGACATGCTGCTCCTCCCTTTGCTGCAAGTGTTGGCTGCTGGCAGTTGCCATGGTGGGTAAAATAACGGCGTTCCAAGACTCTCCACTTCTTGGAAAGACTGATTCATCCAGAAACATGGTGCTAAGCTTCCCTTTTTCAAGGGGGCAGCACAAAGGTCTTGCATTATTCCCACTGCTTTGCAGGGTACAGGCGTCGGCCCAGGATCTGCCTCTCGCCTCTGCCTCAAAGGGGATAATTACTGAGAGGGTGTCAGATCAGGGCTATGAATCATGAGCAGCTGAAGGAAAAGAGAAAGGGATATTTAGCATGGCTGCTTCAAAAGCTGGGGGTCTGTTAAAGCATATCCCGCACCAATGTTTTACCATCAGTCTGGGAAAAGGTCAGAAAAAGCCCTAATTTGGGAAACTGGGCACTTCCAGGGAGGTCAAAAAGGTGTTTCACAGAGAGATGTAAACAGTCTTTGATGCCCAGTGCAGCACTGCTCACTGGGAGCTCTGTCACGAGTGTCCCAGCTCTGGAGGTTTTCCTGAATACCAACATCACAAGGTCAGGAAATTATGTGAAAGCTTTTGCTTTCAACTCCAAACATGAAAGTCATGTCTTTGAGGTGTAGAGAAACCCTTTGGAGAATGGCCTGCACACCTGCCTGAGAAATGGGGGCAAAAAAATAGGAATTTGCTTTAAAATTTATTATTAACATTATTATTATTTAAAAATCTCACGGGCTTAAGTCAGTCAGGTATCATTTTTAATCCTGTCACTGCACACAGATTGACATGTACCTGTTTCTGTGTGTACCAGCTAAATATTTGTCTAAGACTGTGAGAGAACAGGACAGGGAGTCAGTGGTTTCAAGGTATGTGAGTCAGCTGGGCTGAAATGGCCTCAGGAGGAGGAAGATTTCACCCGATACAAGATTTCCTTGTCGAGGAAATCCCAAGATGCTCTTTCGTCTCCCCAAAGAGGTATGAAAACCCCATTTTATTCTGCAACTTAAAAGTAGACTGGGCAAAGGAGGAGAAAACACAAAGCAGGAGTTGCTCTTGGTGGATAAATTCCCAATGACAGTTTTATCTTGTAATTCCTTCTCAGCTGTGTTCAGATTCGTCATAACATCTGACTGACGTCTCCAGGCAGCCTTGCGATATTTACCTCTTTTCACAGAAAATGACCGAGGAAAGCGACGCAGCAGGAAAATCCTCGGGCTGAGATCCAGCTTAGGATCACTCAACTTGCCAGTAATCCGGTTTTATTGGATGTCGTCACCTATTTCCTTGTGCGGTCGGGCGCAAAGTAATAACGTTTGGAATTCAAATTCGGGGTTAAGATGGGAAGATGGAGGGCGACACACACAGAGCTGATACCTCTGACGTGGGCAACAGCACGTGGGCTCCTGGGGTGAGGATCACCAAGTGGTTATTTCAGGAAGGAAAGCAAAAAAACCCAAAAAAACCCCTCAAAGTACCCTCCCTTTATTAAGAGGCAAAAATACCTGTGGTCTGATGTTTGTATTTGTATTTCAGAAGATGAGGAGTCAGCAGTGTCATGTGGGAGTCTGTTCCTCAGCCTGGAGCTGACCCAGGAGGAACTAAAATGCAGCTTTGCCTCAGGAGCAGGA